GCGGCCTCCCTCCGGCCGCGAATGCAGCTTAGGTCCTCCCCTGACCCCCACTACTGTCCTCCTCCTCCAGGCCCCACTCAATCTGGCTATAGGGGACCTCGTCCATACCACCCTCATCCAAAGTAAGGATTAAATGGTCCTTAGCCCTAACCTAACCTGAGATGGTACGACCCTTCCACTTTTTGCCCTTGCCTAAGTCCTTGTGCCAGAAAGTGGAAACTGACATGGACTGTGCCCCAAACACCACCACCTCTCTACTCAACGTATCATATGTCATGGTGGGTTGTCGACTCTTTTCTAAGAAATGCCCACGTAGGGGCTCTGGCATGGCACGGTAAAAGAGGTTGACCAACTGGGCCTCAGTGACCCTGTGGTCTGGGACGACCACTAGCTCGTCCATAACGCCCTTGAGTGCCCTTGCACTCCTCCACTAGCGTGAGTGGATAGTTTGCAGTTTGTCAGAGGCTCTGACGCCTCGCGTGACATCTGCAAATTGTTCCCTAAGGAGTCTAAAGAACTCAGGGAGGGGTGATTTTGGAGTAGGCTACCATGTTATTTTCGCACTGTGTAGCGCGAGCGAGTGATCTGGCAAAACTGCCGGCATCATCTTTGAGGGCCTGAAATGCGATGAGGACTTGTTCCTCAGCAACGATCTCTTGCAAATACACATAGGTATTCACATTCGCCTCCCAATTATCAAAATTCTCTTCCTTCGTCCCACTGTAGGGTTCAGGAAACTTGAGCTTTACTGGCTCTCTACGGAGGCATACCTCCTCCTCCTTAGGAGCAGCCAACTTTGCGCCCTCAATGGCGCCTGTGCAGAACTTTTCGGTGCCCTCTATTCTTGCCTGCACTTCTGTACCTACGTGCAACATTATCTCCCGTGCAAAGTCTCTAAATCCCAGGCGAATGGAGTGTAACGCAATATCCTGTGCTCTAGCAAACTGATGTTGCTCGTCCCAGACTCTAGCTAGGAGTTCTATATTTCTCAAAATAACATCTAATTTTCCCTATATATCCGCTTGCGCTTGAATCTCCTCCCTCTTCGTTTTTAGTACCTCCAACTCCTGCGCCATTTTGTTCGCTTCCTCCATTCTTCTTTTCTTCTCCCTTGTGAGACATAACTTCCATTCTAGCTTCTTCTCCTCCTCTATAGTCTGGCGTCTCAAGGGATTTTTTTCTGCCTCCCACTCCCTGATAACTGCTTCCTTCTCCTCCGGGGGAACATACAACAGAGCCTCTTCTTCTTCTCCCAGAGACAGGTTTGCTACCCACTCAGAAACTTTTTTCTCCAACCATGATTCCTCCTTCGTGCCACTAGTTTCCCCCCTCTGCTCCGTGCCTCTTTTTATCAGGGGAACCTCTTCCTTTTCTTCTTCCTCTTCGATCTCTTCCTCCTCTACTGCTTTCAACTTCTCTTCGTCTTCTTTCTTCAATCTCTCCATTTCCTCCTCCAACTTCTTCCTCTTCGTCGCCCGTTCCTCCAGTAAGGCCAATTTCTTGGCTGCCTGATCAGCTCTTTCTTAGCTTCCTTCTCTTTTCTCTCTTTAAGTACGGCGGCAGCTTGCTCTTCATGAGCCTTGGTGTAAGGGGTGGTGCTCTTACCACTACGCAGGTGAACCATGGTGAAAGGTGTACAATCGGAAGTCAGTTTCACTCCTCACCACTTAGACTCATACCCCTGACTGACTTAACTTAGGACTGACTCAATCTAAGGACCACATAATCTTTGCAAGATCCTGTCAACTAGGGTCTCTAGCCTAGACCTAAACTAAGGCTGTCACTACAGGACTTACTGTTGATCAGGAGACATTTAAGGAGATCCCCCGTAACTCCTCATGAATTATTTAATGTCGCAAATAGGACGACGCGCTCAGCAAGTCCTCTCAAGACTTAGACAGCTTGTTGTGCAGCCCATTGCTTGGATTTTCGGCCTACTGTGCCACACCGAGCAGCCCGCCGGTCTGTACCGGTCCTTGGGAGGGTTCGTGTCCTCCGGGTCAGTCGAGTCGTCAGACACAGCCTTTAGCCCTACTCAACCCGTGTGGGTTTGGTCAACAAAGCTCTATGACCTCATTCACAAAGTTCCTATCACCTGGACAGAAGAGACTCAATGCAGAAAGAAGAGACAGAGAGACTCAGCAAGTACCATGGGGTGAGTGCACATCCATAGGGCGAGGGGATAGGCTGAAGGTTTGGCGAGAATATACCAACTCCAGCTTGGTCAACTTCATGGTCAACAGCCCCGGTCAACGTTGGTCAACGATTGGTCAACTCGTTGGCCAACGCCTTGGTCAACACCAGTAAACTCGTCGATCAACTCTCTGGTCAAAGTCTTGGTCAACGCTGGTCAACTCTTCGGTCAACGCCTTAGTCAACCCTTGCCGGCACCTTTCTTTCCACCAACCTCCCTTACCTTCCTTCTCCCTCCTTCCTTCTTCCTCTTCCTTTCTCGCTTCACCTCGGCTATGGCTTCCTTCACTTTCGTTGTCCCTCCTTCCTTCTCCCTCGCTTCACCTTTCTTCCTCTCGATAACCTTGTGTCCGAGCTCCGCGGCTATGGCCGCTTTCTCCCTTGGACCGCACAACAATCTTGTGTCACTCCTCTCTCTCTCTCTCTCTCTCTCTCTCTCTCTCTCTCTCTCTCTCTCTCTCTCTCTCTCTCTCTCTCTCTCTCTCTCTCTCTCTTCTTCGTCGTTGTCTTCTGTGCAGGTACGCGGCACTTCACTCCGCAGCGCAGCTATGGCGGATTTTTCCTCCTTCGGCGCACCTCGGCTATGGCGCCCACTGGCGCGAGTCTCCTTCCTGCTGGCAACAACGATGACGCGTGGGGTAACGGGAACCAGCTCTGATACTAATGCAATCAGACTCGCTTTCCTTTCCACTTTACGTACATGCAAACAGTTGGCGATTCACACTGGCGCACTCAAAGCTCAGACATATGGAAGTTGAGAACACAGTTCAGATGCAAATTCACGTCAAACAAGCTATGGCGCATCGGCGCCCGTACATCCCAACCTTCGTCACTGTGTCCAACCCCACTGTTCGCACACGCTCACTCTGGATCTCCCTGAATACACCCACGCACACTCACTCGATATCCCACACACTTACTCACTACCAGCTACCTCTACCTGCGCCGGCTATTGCCGCTCGCCTCTACTGCTATGGCTACAATCTCGCTCTTCATCCCACTTCGTCTTTGGGCAACCTGCAGACCACCTTTGCACAAGACGCTGTAGCAGCGCTTCCGCATGGCTTACGCAGCGAATGAATGAATGCTTGATGCTACCTCTTGATTTATACTTCTGTAACTCGTTGGTCTGCCCCTTTCCGCCAGGCCCTTGGTGCACACAGTCCCACACAGTACTTGCTTGACTGGACTGCGACTGACTGGGACTGGTACTGCTGACTGCACGGGGTTGCACTGCCGACTCAATGCAGCCACACTGCCGACTCAGTGCCATTGGGCTCACCAATTGCCCACTTTCCTCAAACTAAATGTGAGACACTTTCGAAAGGCCACTTCCGGACCTTCCGGGAGTCTGTGGACTTTGGCCTTTCGAGGGTTGTAGCAGCTACGACCTTGACCTTTCAGGACTGTAGCAGCTACGACCTTGACCTTTCAGAACATCCACAGCTACGACCTCTACAGAGCTGGGACCCTTACTCGACAGACCTATAGATCGAACCCCTACAACTACATAGACCTACCACTGATGACAAACAAATACCAAAACACAGGTCACGGGTTCAAACACTCGGGTCAACTCGACACTGTACATGGGCAAGGTAAGGTCTGGGGATCGAACTCTAGGGCCCGCATTTGTGACTGCAAAAATGGTGAAAACCGTTTCATACTAGTCTCTGTTTGGTAGCCTTAGGTCATTCGGCCTTTTCCTTTTGCCTTGTCATAGGTCTAGGTCCCCTTTCCCCCCTGTTTCCGTCGAGATGCAGATGAGTATTGGGTTGTGGCCTTTGGAGTCCGTCGTAGGTCTAGGCAGAGGGTAGAAGTAGCGGGCAGGAAATTTGGTTTGGGGCTTTTCACGTTTTGTTGCCTGGGGAAACTCTGCCTGTCCGTTGCTGGAGCGCTGCTGCTCTATTTTGGGCGAGGTCATCTTCTTCCTCCAAGCCCAACCATAGCTGGGGTTGGGAAACGAAGTTGAAGACAGCACTGCTGCTATTTCGCAGCTCTGCATGAGAGCTTCCACAGGACTGTGTTGTTGGGTTTGGGTGCTGCCATCTTCCACTTGGCAGCCATATCT